TCCTCCCCTTGAAGATTTATCTGGAGAAATATCTTGTTTCTTCCCCAGCTCTAAGCACTGCTGAAACCAATACACCTCCTTCCCAGAAGGAGCTGATTTCAGTGATGTGTGGCCAGAGCCTGGAGAAAGCTTTGTGGTCCTCTGGGATAAACATGTGCTGTTGTCTGGTCTGGTCTTGTACCTGGTGGCCTACTTATGGATGAAGGCCTGGTTTCACCAATCCTTGTCTATACACACACATGCTTTTGATAATCCTTTCTCCTCTTGTTGCCTCTCCTCCCTGATCTCTTCCTCTGCAAGGCACACAGGTTATGGAGGTGCTGTCATAATCTAGGAAATGTTGCAGAATAACTTAACAGTGTTTGTGGTTCTTCTCTTATCACTGAGTGCATCAGGGCTGATGCTTTCCAGCTGTGATGAAATATAGGAGCTTGTCCTGAGTTTCCCCATTCCTGTCCTTAGGCAGAGGCCCCGGGAGAGATTCAATGAAGATTTCACGATGGACAAATACCTGGTGGTTCACCCTGATTTCCTCAGATACATGAAAAACAGGTGAGTTGGGAGTTAGGTGCTCTAGGTGTATTTTTTTCTGGCCAGCACCATCTCTGTCTGTGGGCTTTCTCCTCCCAGCTCACTCCATTGTAACTGCGGTTTAGCCACACCAGCAGACTGGGGCTAAGCTTCATCAGTGTGCAGTCAGTTAAAATTCTCTGTGGTGCTGCAGTGGGATGTTAGTGGTGGGTAGACGTCCAGCATCTGTGAGCTGATTCAACAGTTTGGCTTTCTGCATCCAAAAGAAGTCCGGGGCAAGTGGCAACTTTACATGTGGCAGGAGTGAAGCTAAGGTGCCAGAAGAGTTGTTCTAGTCCAGGACCAACCTTTCATGTTCCCTATTGCTTTGCACCTTGGAGGAAGACTCTATAACAGCCCTTCTCTCCTTTCTTGACTCGGGAAGCTGTGTGTGCCCTCAAACATGAGAAGAAACACTTCTTCAGTATCCCATTTCCCTGGCCTGGCTGCTGCTCTTTGCCTCTCTAATCCTTTTCACAAGTCTGCTGGACACTGTCACAGTGAAATCTGCCAATCGTGGGCCACACGTGGCCAAGAGATGTAGGAAGAAGAGCTCCTGTCGTGCCCTGCTTTGGCTGTGCTTACTCTTTGGTGTCCTTGAGAGCTGAGTTACGCCTTCTCTGAGAGAAGGCAAATGCAGTGCCAGATGGCTCACACCTCCCAGCTCATTCTGCCATCTCCCCTCTGACTTTGGGTCCTTTCCAAGGCCAAGAGGGCTCATATGCTACTTTTTCCTGGTGTGGACTCCTACGTTCCTAACAACTGCTGGTATAAAACACTGCAGCTCCTAGTGGGTTTTGTGACCCAACTCTGCACCTTTCCTATGTCTCGTTTCACTCCTAAGTGTGGATGGGCAGCAGGATATACTGGGGAGCTTCAAAGCCACTTTTGCACTGCAAGACAAAGGACAGATTTAGAGTGGGCTTTAACATACAAAATCCTTTAATCCACCCCCTCTTTATCCCCATTGCCTCAAGACCTACCACTTCCATAAAGCTGGGGCGGAGCTGGGCTTAGGTCGCAGTGCAGGTGATGGAGCATTCTGGGCTGGCCTTGTGCTTTACTGAGCACGCAGCGGTACCCACACATCTGGACGTACTGGTGGCTTGTCTGAAGTGCCTCATATGGTCACAAACTGCTGCAAGGAGGGAAGATGCCACGCAGGCTGCAGAGGCACAAGGCATGCCTAGCTTGAACCACCACACCCAGCAACTGCTCTGTACTTTCTTCTCTCCTGCTGCAGGTTTTTAAAATCTAAAAGTCTGGAAAAGCGCTACTGGCGGATATACAGACCCACAACGGGGGCCTTCCTGCTGCTGACTGCACTCCATCTCTGTGATCGGGTAAGGGCACAATGATTCTTGCACACAGCACTGTCTGGAAGAGGGGCTAGGGGTGGCTCCAACCCTGCCTACCATCTGCCTTGAGGGTATATGGGTTCTTGTCAGCTGTGGAGGAGCAGAGTGAAGACAAGAGAAACAACTCCAAAGTAGCTCACATAGAGGTTGTGAAGCCTGCGGTGGCCTGAGAGCCAACCTGCCTCCCAGGGAGGCAGTGAGAGGACAGCAAGCTCTCTGGAGCCAGTGTTCATAGTATGGTCCTTCTGGACCCCTGTGCAGGGTCACCCAAAGGGACCCTGACTGGCATCCTTGTCCTGTGCTCCCTCCCTGTTTGGGAACTGTGTCCTGTATTTCATTTAGCTCCCTGCCCCCAGTGAGCCCTCCGTCTTTCGCAGGTGAGTGCCTATGGCTACATCACAGAGGGTCATGAGAAGTATTCAGATCACTACTATGACAAGGACTGGAAACGTCTGATTTTCTACATTAACCATGACTTCAACCTGGAGAAGCAGGTGTGGAAAAAGCTTCATGATGAGAATATCATGAAGCTTTACCAGAGATCCTGATTGTGTGGAAAGGGCCATTGCCTGGGAAATCTCAACACCACCTCACAGGGAATGGAAGAGGACCACCAGAGCCAAGGTTAGCTCTAGACTTCCAGGCACGTTTCATGCCCACAAAGATGTTTCTCTCCTTCAGCACCTCTGTTCTCTCACAACTTTTCTACAAATGTGCAAATGCCAGAGACCAGGAGAAGAATAGCAAGAAAATGCAACATGCCAACAAAGAAGTTTCATCTGGCTGTGCTGCAAGACTGTTACTGATGGTAGTAGGCACTAGTACTGGGAGAGAAGAATCCAGGATGGATGTGGGTAGCATGTGGGCTAGTGTCCTGCATCTTCATCCAGGTTTTCTCTCTTTGCAAGGAGATGCTCCTTAGACTGGGGCTGCTTCTCTTCTGCATGGATCCTCTCCATTAGTGGTGCCCATCTAGCATTGAGTGTGTTGTCTAAGCAAGCACCCTTGGCAGCCAGTGGATGGAGGTGGACACACAGATCCTGTCTCAGGTTGACTTAATTCCTGGAGGTGCTGGTCTCAGGTGCTGTTCCCTGCAGATTAAAAAGATGGACTGGACACTTCCAGGTAACTAATTTGAGAGAGGATGAATCTCTTTTCTGTGTCCCAGAGTGGCCTTGTCATGATACCTCCAAAGGAGCACCACCATCAGCTCAAGGGCAGGTAAATGCTCTCCATGGTGCAGCAGGCATGCCGGAATTGGTCCCTCTTGCTCTGGGGCTCCTCTGGCTGCAGGACATGAATGGTGTGTCATGGTCCTGGTGTGCCAAGTCCTTGCTTAGCTGGGCTTTGGCACACTTGGCTCCCAGCTGTGCCAGGAGTGCTGTGTTTGCCCTCTTGCCAGGGGAGGTAGGAGCTCTCCAAGTCCAGGGATGGATGCTGTCCGTGCTTGCTGCTGGCTGGAGTGCCTGTTCCCCATCATGCTAGGAGAAGCCTGGTTGCAGCCAGCAAGCCTGCAGAGTGTTGGCCTTTGGAAAGGGGTTTTGCAAGCGAAATAAATGGCACTACTTTGGCCAAGCTGATTTTTCATTGCAGCCCTGTGGGTTGTGGTTATTTAGCATGCGTCCAAAGCAGTTGCTTAAAGGCCGAAGTGGTGGGTGATGAAGCCAGGAAAGGGCAGAATTGAGCGTTAGTGAGAATACCTCCATCTGCAGGTGCTCTGCAGCTTGTGTGAACATACCTGGGCATCCCCCGCTTGTTCACCTTGCTGTCACAGGACGGGGATCAGAGCTGGCCAAACACCTCCCTGAGAAAGTGGGTAAACACTGGGCAAATTTGTCCTTGTCCCAACAGCTGCTCTCCAAGTATATCAGATGCTGGAAACAAGTGCATGAAGGGCTGGGTGTTTCCCCTGTGACACCACACAGGTGAAAAGCCACTTCCAGTATCCAGGCAGGTCCGGTGCATCTCCTTGGGCTTGTCAGGCTCTGGTTTGGGGCCCAGCTGCACACTGGCAGGTCCCAGGGGACCTGCTCTGACTGCCAGTGGTTTTCCTTTTGTGCAGCATTTCTGCTGGGGGCAGCAGTGTCTCTAGGGACCCCCTGGGATCATCAGCAGGGTTTGTCAGGCCTAATTTCCTTTGTCTGTTTTTACTTTGTGCTGCAGAGAGGCCAAGCAGTTTCTTGTGTCTCACTAAGCTTGTTTGCAAAGGACAAACCCTCACGTTGATAATCTAAATGAAGAATTCAGCTTATCTGGGGGAGGCTGTAGCCTGCGTTGGCTGCTCTGCCCGTACAAGCCCCACAGTGTCCGTGGGAGCGGGGAGTTATCCGAAATGCACTGTGCCTCTGTTGGGAATGATGTATGTAGCCCTGCCTGAACACCAGACCTATGGGGAGCCACGGGCTTTGGAGCAGACCAGAAACCCTTTCTGAGCAGCAAACGGCCTGCCCATGAAGGGGGAGCCCGATGGAGGCCAGTCACCCTCCGGAGCTGACTGAGAACAAACTCCTGCAGCACCCAGGAGCTCTGGACCCTGCTGGGTGTCTCAGCCCCTCGCAGTGGCCGTGCACAGCTGGTGTCCCCTGTCCCCAGGCTCTGCAGGCTCTCCCTGCCCGGCACTCGCCCAGCTCGGCTCTCGGTGGGCAGTGAGGCAGCTTTGTTCCTTGCCCGTGTGTTGGGCTGTGCTGAATTGCTGCAGGTTGCTTAGTGACCAACTCCACATGGGTATTCTTCCTGCCTGAATAGGGCTTTTCTCTTCCCAAGAAGTTGGAAGAAGTTTCCCTTAGACCCTTCCCTTCCCCCTCCTCCTCTTTTGTTTCCTGCTCCTCTGGGAAGTGGGATGAGGCTGAGTCCCGCAGAGCGAGGGCACCATGGTGGGTAAGGAGGCTTTGGGGATGGGCTGGCAGCCCCCAGCCCGTGCTTTTCCCCAGCACCCAGCTCATCTGTGCAGCTAAGGCTTCCCAGAGTCAAGGGAAGGAAACTCCCTGAGAGGCTTTCCGCACCAGCAGAGCCTGTTCCCTCCAGGCTTTCCTCTCAGCACAGCTGGCATAGTTGATGTTAGCAGGGATAACTTTGGCTGGAGAAGGGCCTTTGCTGTGGTCTGGAGTTTCCCAGCAAGCTCAAAACCACATCCTCTCTGGCCCCAGAAAAGCAACTCTGACCCGATGGTCCCCTTCGCTTCCTCACTTTGCTTTTGGCCCTCCTGCACCAAGATGTCCTGTCCCATCGTGGGCTAGCCAAGGTGCAGCGCACACAGGGATATATCCCTTGGAGCACAAGTCCTGATGTGTCTCACCAGAGCCACCTCACCTGGCCTTGATGCATCAGGTCTGGAACAGCCATGGGAAGTCGAGGAGGTTTGGAGGTTCCATTTCCCAACCAACTTCTAGCCTGGCACAAACTAGTGTAGCAAAACCTGTGGAGGGCAGCTACAGCCCAAGCACCCTTGGCAAGAGCCAGGATTCAGGGCTTGGGTGAGTCCCTCAGGGTGAAACTGGCAATGCCAGGCTGTGCTGGAGTAGCCCCAGCCTCCCCAGCATGGCTGAACAGTTGGTGCCATGATGCAGGGCCACCCCAAACGTCCCCAACCAGGTCCTAGAGGCTGGCACGCCAGCAGCATTGTCCCAGTGCCACCAGGTGGCAGCTATTGTTCAGGGACCTGTCGGCATCGTGCCGTCTGGCACATCCAGGTTTGGCACTGGCCATGTCCAAGTGCCATGCACAGCCCTGCCCTGCCCACGTTGCACCAGACTGTTGTTCCCCAGTGTCCCTCACTTTAATGCCCGCCTGTCCGTAGGGTTTGTGGCCCTGGAGCTCCTTGGGGTACGTGGGGACGTGCATAGAAGAGGTTCAGGACGTGCAAGTGCCACCCTCGCAGGTGCAGAATGTGTGCAGAGGTGCAGCCTTGGTTGTGAAACATGGCACAGCGCTGGAGGCAGCACAAGCGGAGGGACCGACAGTGGAATCGGGTCTGGCATCCCGAGGGATGCCTCAGACACAGCGACTCTTCGTGTGCGGACACGACACCTGGTGCCAGCGACCAGCAGCATCTTTCCCCACTGCCAGCCTAGAGCTCCAGGGTCTGCTGGATTCAAATAGAGGTGTCAGATTTGAGGATGAAATAACAACTGTGCTTTAGCACCTCCAGAAGCTGCTGTAGCATCAGCCCTGCTTTTTTGGGAAGCTCTTGGTGAGTACCATGAACTGTTATTACAGCTGTGCCCAACTCCTCCCTGGATTCCTCAGCCTCAAAATACTCCCTGCCAGGTTGCAGGAGAGAAATCCCCTTGTCACTCGGAGCTCTCATGTTGTCACCTTTCTGGCAGGACTTTGAATCTTTTG